AATTATATTTTAGATTTTTTATATTTTAAAATAAGATGTTTATTCTCTATTTGATTATATTTTAAGTTGTACTTTTGTATAATTTACTTGTAATCTTGAATTTTAAGTAATATGCATTAATATACATTATTTTATGAATAAAAATGGTTTTTAAGAGTTTTTATAAATACTTTATAATATAGTATAGAAAAAAAAATTGTCGATAAATAAAAGTGAAAAAGTGGAACCTTATTAGATTATTATTAGAAAATTGAAAAGTTAGAGAAAAAGGTTTTGATATATTGATGGAAAAGAATTGAAGACAGGCACGAATCAGGAAAATTTTTCAAATTGTGGCACTATTTGGTTATAAAAAATAAATATAGGGAAAAAATTTCAAATTGTGGCACCATTTGACTATATGAAATAAATGTAGGAAAAAAAAAATTCAAACTGTGGCACCATTTGACTAAGAAAATGAGATTAACAGGATTTGAATTCAGGTCTGAGGTGGAATAAAAGTCGTGCAAACCAACTTTACCAAAGAAAACTTGTTCACATTATAGTTTCAAAATACATACGATGACACACAACAAATTAATACGGTTGCACCTTTCACGAACCTAAACTTTTTTACCATTCGACAGAGAAATAATACGATGGCACGTGCCATCGTTGGCACCACTGTAGGTCCGTCCCTTATTGAAGATATATGCCCAAGACTGTCGGTTATGAGTTCCTTTTAGAAGAGGACCCGACTAGGCGGTTGAGCCATGTGAACTTAGAACCTCCATTAGATTACTTTTTGATACCTTCAAAAAAGAACTATGATATATTACTTTTTTTTAAAGACGTTACAGCACATATAGAAAAGAAAAGGCATTGTGTCTAATTGAAGGGGTCAAGTGAAAAATAAAAGGAACCGAATGAAAAAGTAGCAAGTAAAAGGATAAACTTTTTTCAATTGGTCATTATTAGGGACCGTTTATCAAACACATACTGGTAAGTGTTTATCGGTAAAATTTAACATTATTATTTACTTAACGGGTAAGATTTTAATCTACCAAAATGACATCGTATGCAACAATTTATCCGGTAAGCGCTTATCGTGGTAATAGTCATCACCCTCACTTATCGGGTAAGATTCTGGTCTTTATCATATTCATGCGGTGAGGTAATATTATTTGGTAAACGCTTACCTGGGTAAGCATTTGGTAAGCAGCCCCTTGATCATTTTAATAGGGATCAAATTTGGTTTAAGTAATGATAACATACCAAATTTGATGTAACACTATTCATCTATACCAAATAGAGTAGATCGACTGTTTACACAAAATTTTACATTAATTTTTATGTACTTTATGTAAGATTTAGTATAAATTTTTATTTTGTATATACATGTAATAAATATTTTCTTGCTACATCAAGAAAACTACTTATCCTTTTAATTTATATTTTCTTATTAGAGAAATGACCCTATAGCCAACACCTGCTCCTTTCTAGGAAGCAAAAATATTCAGCGTCCTAATTTCGTTGTAAATAATTATTAAACAGTTATATTTTATTTTGTACTATATCATAAGAGATTCTTAATCATTCTGTACCAAAACCATTCAGCAATTGTCAAACAATCCCTATATTTTCTGTTTGTGTCTTAATTGAAAGAGACCATTCATGGCCTCTAAAAAGGTGGGTAATGAGTTTGACGTTTTATGTGTGGTTGGAATGAGTTTATATCTTAGTAAGAGGTCGTTTATCAAACGCTTACCTGAGTAAGTGCTTACCAAGTAATATTACATCATCGGATGAATATAGTAAGGACCAAGAATATTATCCGGTAAGAGCGAGACAAGGATCAAGAGTCTTACCCGGTAAGTGAGGGTGACGACTCTTACCACGGTAAGCGCTTACCGGGTAAATTGTTGTATACTATGTCGGTTTTGGTGGACTAAAATCTTACCAGGTAAGTACATAATAGTGTTAAATTTTACCGGTAAGCACACTTATCGAATAAGTGTTTGATACACGGTCTTCTGTTGGCAAGTGAATCAACTCTTGCCTCCCGAGTAGACGGTCTTCTTGGTGAGTAGGCCCATTACATTTTACATTTTTTTTAAAGGTGTGAGTTGGAGAAAAAGTTTACACTTATTATAACTAGATTTTATATTTTAAAGATTCTAACATTAATTATATTATTAAAATGTTATATAATTTTATCATTCCGTACACTTAAAAATAATAATAATTCAATCTTATTGGTGGAAAAGAATAAAAAAAACCATTTATTTCTCTTCACATCCGATTTAGAGAATTCTCTAAACTTGAAATTTTATTATGTTTCCTATATTTTAGGAATAATATAGAGGAAGTATTACAGTAGAATAGAAAATAAAATCTCAATTTTCTCTATTTTAAAGAATCTGTGAGAGATATTGTATTTATTGAAATTCATACTATCCTATAGATACATTTTATTTTAATTGGTTTGGTTTAATTTCTAAGGTTTTTTTTTCGTATTCGTGGGTACTTTATTCCAAACGTAATTCTAATTGGGTAAATTTACGCATCAAAAGCTATCCTTTACCTTCATGGCTAAACCCTAAACCCTAAACTCATGCCAGCTCTGCATTGCTAGCTATGTGAAGTTACGGTTGACTAGTTTTGCTGTGGTTATGAAATCTAATGGGGGTATTGGTGTATTTTCAGCTGGTGGAAAAGGATCCAGATGGAGCGATAATTTTGTTCTGGAAAGCTATTAATGCCGGTGATCGAGTTGATAGTGCCCTAAAAGACATGGCAGTCGTTATGAAACAACAGGATAGAGCTGAAGAAGCAATTGAAGTCATTAGATCCTTCAGGGAACGTTGCTCCAATCAAGCCCAAGAATCACTAGACAATGTCCTAATCGACTTATACAAGGTAAACAACACTTAATTTATATGTTAACATATTCTTGTCATGTAACTCGCGATCGACCCTCGATTTTTCACCCCAAACGGGTGGTGGATCAAAGGACTGCAAAGTCATCCAATGAGTTTTTAGTCAAATTCCATAGTTTATTTTCGGCAAAATTTCTAAAAGTTTTTTGGGAGAGAGTGCATATTTTGCACTTCAAGAGTGTTACTAAACAATCGAGCGTCGTGGGTTTGTAGAAATGTGGTAAATTAGAGGAGCAAATCGAACTGCTAAAGCAGAAGCTTCGGATGATCTATGAAGGAGAAGCATTCAACGGAAAACCCACAAAGACAGCGCGCTCCCATGGAAGGAAATTCCAAGTTACGGTCAAGCAAGAGACATCAAGGATACTGGTAATAACGAGTTACTACATTCGGAATCTTTGTATTACTATTGCTAACTTTTATGCTTGCCTGCTTTTCTCTTTCTCACACACTTTTCATAAGTCGAGCTTCTTTCTCACACACTTCATGACAGACGTTAAGTTTGCATCCATATTTTTTGAGACCCACGTCGGCTAAACTTGAACCATTTCTCCTTCTTATATGTTGGAACCTCCTTCTCTTTTCAAGGACACTTATGGAGAGTAATTTCATTGGGTTCCACATATTCTTATATGGTGTTAGAGCCAAGGTCTACCACTCACGGGTACCTATACTCGTCTTACCCCCCCTCTTGACACTCTCGGACATCTAGCCTCCATTTGAGGGGCGTGTTAGAGTCTCACATCGGCTTAGATTTGGACATTTTTTTTAGTATATGTTGGAACCTTATTATCAGTGATCTAATTGGGTTCCACGTATTATGATACATTTAGCCTCCCCAACCCCACCACCTCCAGGTGGGATATACTGGGATTATTTGATTTCATTGGAGTTGGAAAAGAAGAGTGAAAGTGACATGAATTTCCTAATTTACCCATGCAGGGTAATTTAGGGTGGGCATACTTGCAGCTAAAGAAGTTTGCAGTGGCGGAAGCTGTATATCGTAAAGCTCAAGAGATCGACCCAGATGCTAACAAGGCCTGCAATTTGTGCCTGTGCCTAGTGAAACAAGGTCGATATTCAGAGGCCAACACGGTTCTTGCAGATGTATTGGAAGGTAAACTTTTGGGGTCCAACGACCCCAAGTTAATTAGCAGGGCGAAGGAGCTCGTTGAGGAGCTAGAGCCATGGCAGTTGGCCCTGGTGCACCCAAGTCCTAGCCAGGGGTTGGTAACTTTGGAGGATGCTTTCGTTGAGGGGCTTGACCAGTTAATAAACCAATGGACTCCATTCAGATCAAGAAGACTCCCTGTATTTGAAGAGATATCAACATATAGAGATCAACTAGCCTGTTGATCAGTTTTGATGGTATGCTTGTGAGCCAATAATTCATAGTTGTTGAGACGAACGGGCATATATACATATATATACATCTATATATACAGGGAGAGAGGAAGGATCAAATGAAAACATAATCAAGAACAAGAGAACCAGAAAACGGTCAAATCACATGTAATTTTACATGAATGGTCGACCTGGCCCACGACATTAAGTCACTGTCAAATCGCTGTGATTTTAGTAGTGTAAAATCACGTCATTCGACCGTTTCCATGTTCTCTTATTTGGTGGTTGTTCAGGTATATGACGTGACTGTATATATAGCAATAATGGACCAATTTTTATCGTGTGTACCATATAGATTAGAGAGAGTTTGTATGTATATCAAGTGTAAACTGGCAAAGGAAGAGGCCATTATTGTATGTAAACTACCAATCCCCTTTGAAAGATAGTACCTATTGCATCCCATCATGACCAAATACATATCTAACGACAATTCAATGTCTCTTTCAAAGTTTGTGTAAAAGGGCCTATAATTGGCAACCAATCAAATTTGTTGAAAAATGAATATTCTTTCATTTTGGAAACTTTTCTTATTAGTTCATTTTAGTTTAAGATTCTTAGAGTATCTCTCATAGCCACGTTGAAATAAAGATTTTTGAGATTTAGCTATTTTTTATTTCTAAGTGCTATGTTAAAACATATGCTATCAAGAAAATGGAAAATGAGAGTTAAGGTGAGAAGCGTTCTGGATTCTTTATCACCTTTAATCCCAAACCCGCCTATGAATCATGCTTGATAAAGGAATTTATTTGGTGCATTTCATTCTACTGTGCATCTAAGGGTGAAGATCACTTCTTACGTTTCTCACTTTTAACTCTCTTTCTTATCGGAACTCAACCCTTGAAAAAATAAGACAGAGAAGGTGAAAATCTACAAATTTGGAAAATCTCTAGAACCCTACGTATGATAGAAAAATAATATATTTTAATCTTTTTCCATCGATAAGAGTTATTGAAAATAAATGTTTAGAAGAAAAATAATTAAATGTATTGAATATTTCATTAACATATTTAATGCTAGAATTGCTAAAATAGAATAGCTATTAGAATTAGATGTAATTATTTAGAGATTTTGAGTTTTAATACTTTATTTTATAAAAAGTATAAAATAGTTGTTGGACATACTTAGACTTTTTTTTTTCATAAAACTTTATTAAAACAACAAAATAAGTGAAAAACATTTCTGTAAGATACTGGAAACAACCCAATACACCAAAAGACAAAACCAGCAAGAGGAAGAACAAAGTAAGGCCCAAAACCAAAAGACACCCGACAAAACCCACACCTAAAAAACAAACTATACGATGAAGGCTTGATCCCTACACAAATCCGATCAAGACAAATTGAAACCTTTGGTTACCAAAAAGGACTCTATTTTTAACGAAAAGGATACCAACTTCAATTACCAAAAGGAAAATAGTTGTTAGTGTTATCAAATTGACAAAACAACATGGATATTGTTATCATAAAATAATTCAATTTCTTGGTCCCCATTGTGTGGATCATTGGTTCAAAAGGGTGTTGTAGGAGATAGAGGTTTAGGAATTCGAAATAGTTACGGGTAATATCGATCTTTCCCTGAAAATCTATAACCGGTAGGGCCCGGTAAAACCGGCAAACGGTTTTTAGAAAAATCATTTCTTTAGTAATCTTTGCTATAAAAGAACTTTTATTTCCTTCTTAAATTTTGCCTACCCTTCGGGCGTAACCGGTTACATTTGGCATCCCGTAGATTTAGGGGACGTTTATCAAACACTTACTCGGTAAGCACTTACCGGTAAAATTTAATATTACCACTTACTTGCCGGATAAGACTTTAGTCCACCAAAACATTACCATATGCAACAGTTTACTCAGTAAGCGCTTACCATAGTATGTGGTGGTTGTCCTCACTTGTCGGGTAAGACTTTTGGTCATTTTCTCGTTCTTACCGAGTAAGATTTTTTGTCCTTACCATATTCATCCGGTAAGGTAATATGACTTGGTAATCGCTTACCCGTGTAAACGGCCCCTTAGACACTAAACTCAGTCGACCAAAGATTCAATCGTTACCTAAAAAGGTGCATTTAACCTTCAATTTCGCAATCTCTATTCGAACTTTTTTTTACAATAAACTACTTTCTAACATTCATAGTTCCTAAAGAAAGACAAAGCCATCTTATACCAAAGTTTATTTATGATTCAATTTGATGAGGTCTAACAATAAATATCATTATATAACATGTACATTAAGCATCCAAAATGCAAAAACTCCTAAGTTGTTAAGACCAGTAGGAGGCAAAATACAGCACTGTAGAAGGAAGGAAGGATTTGATGATCTTCAAAAGCACCTCAAGTTATTGCAGATCGACATAACGACGAGCAGAATCAAAACAAGAACGAGACCCCCGACTATCAGTTTAATCTTCATGTTCTGAACCCACATCTTCCTTTTCATCTTGGTTCCTTGTTTCTTGAAATCATTTGCCTAAAACAAGAAACCAATTCTTGAAAGAAATGGACGTTTTTAGAATCATCGATCAATCAAAGTTATCGATCTAAAGTCACGGAAATGTATCCGTTGTTGCAAGGAATGACAGGTAGCAAAGATGTTGCAAACTAAACGAACCTAGTATATCCCGCCCGGAGATATGGTTATTTAGCTTAATCACCTTTTGACAAAAAAAAGAAAGAAAGAAGAAGCATGACCTGACAGGTAGAGTTATTCTCAGAAATTGTCAGAAGATCATGAATTAACTTAGAAGTTTGATTTAGCTAAATAACCTGGTCTAGGGAGGGTACGCGTGGGTCCTTTGGTTAGTGACTTCTGACAAGTTTTCTTTTTATAACTCCATGACCTTCTCACAGGTTTGAGAATGTAGTTGCTTAACGGAAGGATATCACTGTAAATATGCCTAAAAACTTGTCTATACACATGTCAGGAGATCATTTAGCTAAATAACTTGATATACGCAGATCGCAGATCTAATCTTTACCCTAAAGAGTAGTGGTTGTTTCCGTGAAGACATTCATGTTAGACAAATCCAAAAGGGGTTGTGTGGTGGTAATTTACTCAAACTTGGTGCCTCGTGAAGCATCAAGCTTGGGTCTATTTCAATAGGTGTTGTCAAATCTTTAGGGGCCAGACACCCCTTCCTGATGGACCCTGTGGACTAGTTGGACAAAATATGCCAAAACCCATAGTTGTTAACAAAAAAGATCATTCATGTCACACAAACCTGATTGCGAAGGTTGTCAGTTTTATCGACCAGCAGTTCAATCTTCTCACCACGATCAAGGACCTGCACACGTCGCACTTTTTTTCTAAGTATCTAGATCACCATCAAACGAGCATGGATCAGATCAAAAAATTTAAAGGGCGCTTGGTTCGCAGAATGGAATTTGGTGGAATTGGAATCCATCAAAGGAATTTGACTTTGAGGGAATTGGAATGGAATTTGACTGCGCGTTTGGTTGGTAGGAATTGGAATGGAATCTCATCAAAGAATTGGAATCTCCGTCTTTGTTTTAGGAGGGAGTGGGTGGCGGTTGTGACGGAGACAGTAGCAATGTGTGGTGGGGAGGGGGAGGGGGNNTGACAGTGACAATAGTAGCATGGTCATGGTCAGGGAAGGGGGTGGGCGGTGTTGGTAAAATTGGGTGCAAAATAATGGAAATTAAATTCTTTCACTTATGCCAAGGAATGATAAATTCATTAACTTTTGGAGTTCAAAGGACTCCATCCATTTCAATATGTGAACCAAACAAAGAAATTGGAATTTGGTCAAAGGAATTGATCATTCCAATGCTTTTGAAATCCTTTGAAAACTGCAAACCAATCAGCACTTTAGAATGGAAGAGTTTCTACTAAAGTATTCCGTCTGGATGATTAAGCCAAAAATGAACAACCACAATGTAAAAAGCACATTAGAGGTTTTTGTGGTTAAATCAATAGGCTACTTCATCCTCAAAGGAGCAGCCCAGATGAGTATCTACTATACAAGATTAAAAACTAAAGCAGTTGTAGTCAGATGTAATCCTACTAGAACTTTTAACTTACACAGTTAAGAGTCCATATTCGAGATATCTTAAAACCAAACCAAAGGAGCTCAGTATATCCCACCCGAAGGCCGGGTGTTGGGAATGAAATGTATGCAGAGCTCTACCTTCTACGATTCAGGATATCTTGATGACATTTAACTCAAAAGATACCTTCTCGATGTTTTCCATCATAACTCCCTTGACTTCAGAAACCTGGGCTTTCACCTTAGCAATCTTGTCAATCTCCTCAGGATGAGTAACACAGTATACCATCTGCTCCTTCAATTTTGGTCTAAAATCCACCAAGTGTCATTAACAGTCATGAAAACAATATATAAGCATAACCCCTCCCCCCCTCAACAAAAAAAAAAGAACGCACACACCCTATCTTAAGGCCGTGTTTGGCAGCCTAAGTTAACTTATTTTTTGAGCTTATTGAAAAAGCTCCATGCGGTTAGCCATAAGCTAGCTTGCTTTTTTTTGTACACACTACTTAAAGTAGCATTTCAGTAATCTCCATAGGCCCTTTCCTACCTTTTCAATTATGTCCCTTATATTTTTCCAATTAATTTTTCAACATGTCCTTTTACGTTATTTTACTTTGTCATTGAACTTATTAGCTAGTTTTTAATAGATGTGACTAGTTTTCAACATGTTTATTTGGTAGCGTTTGATACGCATACATAATTGGATGACTGGGGATAGAACTGGACTGGACTATCAGGACTAGACAGAACAAGTATCTTTCTGGTGTTTGGTACGACTAGGACTAGACAGAACAGAACTATGCAAGTTGCCCCCAAAAGTTATTTTATGATTTTATATATCATATAATAGTTATAATTAACACAAATAAAGTAATAATTTAATTTATAAAAAAATTACACAATTTTCATATAGTTGTGGAGGTATTAGCATTGATGAAGGCACGGTGAAGATTGTTGCAACAACAATAGTTGTGGAGGTATTAGCATTGGTAATTGGTGGACGATTGTGGTTGTGGATGACGTGAAGATCGTGGATAGTGCTTGTGGTGGCGGTCGATAGTGATGGAGGAGGTAGGTGTGATGGTGGGCAGTGGTAGTGGTTATGGTGGTGGTGGTGGCTGACGATACTAGTGGTGGTGGAGATGGACGGTGGTGGTTGTGGAGGACGTGAATATGGTAGACAATGGTAGTGGTAGCCGATAGTGGTGGCCAATGGTGGTAGTGGTAGCAGGTGGTGGTGGGCAGTGGTAGTGGTAGCCAATGGTGGTGGTTATGGTGGAGGTAAGGTGGCCCATGGTGGTGGCGATGAATGATGTTAGTTGGTGGCCAATGACGGCTGTGGAGGTGGTGGAGGAAGTTGTTGTAGTAGAAGAGAAGGTGGAGGTGGACAACGGTGGTAGTAGTGATGGATGGTGGTGGTGGTGACCGATGGTGGTTGTAGAGGTGGTGATAGACGATGGTGGTCGGTGGTCAATGATGGTTGTGGAGGTAGAGGTGGCAGACAATGGCTACCGGTGGCGGCGGGGGCCGCAACTAGCGGTAGTAACCACTAAAACAAATACTATGTTAAGGTTATATATTAAACGAGAGTTGATTAGTAATATTCTAGTTTCTGTCTCATTTTGTCCCATCTTGTTCCACCTACTTTGGTGGAACAAGAAAAAGTTTTTTTTGTCCCACGCTGTCCCACCTTATCCCAGTTCTTGTCGTTGTCTCACCTTATCCTAGTTCTTGTACATGTCCCATGTCGCACCAAACGTGGGACAGTGAGTTCTTGGTCTCACGTCGCACCAAACGTGGGACAATGAGTTTTTGGTATGTCCATTGTCGCATCAAACGTGGGACGGTGAGTTTTATGCCGTCCTATCCCATGTAACAAACGCAGTCTTTAGGTTATTTTACATTATCATCTAACTTATTAGCTAGTTTTTAACAAACGTGACTAATTTAACAGTTAACCGCTAACTTATAAGTTAGTTTGCCAAAGGTAGACCAAATTGTAAATTGTTAGGTACCCAAATGATTTGTTCAGGCTCTTGGCAGCAGCAGATGCAGCTTTGCCTCCTGCATATTTCTTGTTAAAATCATCCTTGACGCGTTCCAAAAAAGCCATGGGAAGTTGCCTGCCAGCAGATTCAACCGCAACAACACAGAATGCTGCAGCAACCAACAGAAGTAAATACTTCCTCCTTCCCAAAAAAAAAAATGCTTTCCAATTTGAGTTGTCCCAAAATATTGCAACATTTCATTTTTTGGAAAAAATTTATACCAACTTTATTCTTTAGTATTTTGTAATCTTTTTTTAAATTAATAGCTTCAGAGGTAATTTATGGCCAACCTCAAGTATACCAACAAGCTCACGATAATTTCGCGTTATAGAAAAACATGGAGGTTGATGCACATTATACCAAAACCAAACCAAACAAAGCTGGTATATCTCACCCGAATGTGGGATCTTGGAGGGGTGAGAACTGAGAAGTATGCAAACCTAGCATCCACCCCAAAAAGTAGAGCGGTTGTTTCCATGAAGACCTCCCTTGTGCATAAGTGTAAAAAAAAATGCCAAAAAAGAACATACAAAAAGGAACTTGATAACAAGAAAGATGGTGTTGAAATTTGAAAAAAAGAAACGAGTTAGAAATAAGCAGCCAAAAATCAAACAGACAAATCGAAAACATAAGCAATGTAGGACGGTCTACACACCCCTAATCTAACCTAGGGGGGTCTAACCGTCGACTCAGTAACCCTGTGCTCCACATCTCCATCCCATCTAGCTTTAATGCACATTCTCTCTTTTCATAATGGCATTATCCTTTTTAGAAAGAAAAAAGTTGAGTTTAATAGATCTTCATTCATCTACTTTTTCTTTACTATTGTCCTTATTAGAGAGTTCCTTAAACATTTTTGACAATACTAATGTTGTGTTCTTTTAAAGGCGGCTAGCCATTTTGGCATGTTTACGAAGTTAAATTCGTTGGTATCTTGACTGACAATCTACACAAATATAGGTAAAATATTATAAGGCATCCTTTGTAAGTTGCTGAATTAACACCTGCTTCTCTATGCTTTGAAGTGTGTTAATGTTATTAAGGTTGCGTTTGGTACGTTTCGAAGAATGGAAATGCGAATGAGTTTCATTCCCTCCAATTTATTGAGGAATGTCTCATTTCACGGTATCTACGGGTGGCCATTGCGTTGCATCAAACCACACATCATTAATGATTTCCATTTCAATTCCCCACCAACTATTCCGCATACCCCTAAACCTCCAACAATGTCAATCCATGTTTCTGAATTCATTTCTATGTTGTTTAATCTCTCAAACAGCAATATCATTTGGTGTGTGATTCATCAAAAGGACACATGATGATATCATCCAAAAGCTAATTAAGATGTATAGCCTTAATTCAAAATTGGAATTCAACCGGTAAGATATGCAAGCAGATCCACTGAATTTTGATGGATTAATATATGGTATCCCCTAACAAATTAACATCCTTCATTAGCCGGTTGACATGGATTATTGATTCTTAACAATCAATTTGCTCCTCCAACAGGTTATAGGATCCAATCTTCTAAATCAAATCCAAACAGCGATTGAAAAGAAACCATTTGTAATCTACAAAAAAAATGCCACAAATGCAACGAAATCAAGAGAAAATAACTTACTATATCCATTATCAATGAGGTAATTGAAGGTATGGCCATCGCAATTATATGTAAACCGATTGTTGTTGGGAGGAAGTTTTTCAAGACATTGGGCGGCAACGGTTGTGAAATTCCCCTTGAACTCGGTATACTCCGCGAGGATCACCTTGCCTCTGGCCACAAAACTGTAGATGAGGGATTTTTGTCCCATTTTCTGTCCACCAAAACCCTAAACTTAACCAAATGTTCAAAGATTTGGAAAACCCGATCGTGAAAACATCAAATTGATCAAATCTACGATAAATTGGATGATGCCCTCATAATATTCAAATTTTCCAGCGGTTTGTGTCGATTTGAAATCATATGAATTCTAATATGATTTCAAAAAATGAGGGTGGAAGAAAACACATCTCTATGAACAGAAATCTCGTTATGGGGGGAATAAATAAAAACCCGAAATTCTGTGACCAATTTGTGTTTGTTTGAATGGTGATGGTAAGTGTGTGTTTTTTGGTGTGTTTGTGTGTGAGAGAGAAACAAACGCGGGTTCTTTTGAATTTATGACACATACGTTACATCACTTCATATCATTTACTATTTATTTTATTTATTTAATTAATTACTAGAAGGGTACTCGTATAATACACACATCTTAATTACAGTGTTTCGTTTTTTTATGTCAATATAATATAGTTTATGTGGTTTTGAGAAAGCGATAATGTTTTTATTTTTGAATAAAATATAAATTTGAAATATCATAAAATTTTGAAAAAAATATATATATCGATATCAGTATCAAATTAATCTTTTTAAAAGTTTTTTGTGTTTTGGTGTAATTTCTTTAATTCAATTTTTTAATTATAATCTAATTTATGTTTAATAATATATTTTTTTATAAAGATAATAACTAAATATTCTATTAGAACTCAATGAGTGTCTTTATTATACTTTATATTTAAAATGAAATGTTTATCCAATATATTTTATTATGTTTATCTGCGATTAGTTATACGAATTCAAATATGGAACTTTAATAAATTGTACTTATGCACAATTTACTTGTAATCTTAAATTTAAGTAATATGCATCAATAAACGGTACTTCGTGCATAAAAATGGTTTTTAAAAGTTTTTATCAAATATTTTATATTATACTAGAAGGGTACTTGTGCAAATGTAACAGGGCTATGATCGTTCGTGTTCACCTAGTGGGCAGAATGTCCCCACAGTGGCGGTGCAAGTGCACGTCGACACTGTGATCGCTTGCAAGTAATAAAGTGGTACAAAGTACCGAGATCGTTCCCACAGAGAATGTACTGAGATTTAGAGACTTTTCATGAACTTCTTGCATGAGTTTCGAGATGTAAAATAAAGTTGGATTTTTGTTTATAAAAAGACCGAAATAAGACCGACTAGCTAATTAACGAAATAAACTTCTAATATTAAATGATGGGCATGGGTGCAAGTGTTGTTTAAAATAAAATTAACAATAAAATGGTTAAACTTTTACGATTGTTTATAAAAGTTCCAATCTCTCGAAAGTGAAATTTTATAACCGGGTCTCATAAAATTCCACAAGGTTTTTACGTTTACCACTTCGAAACTTGTCGATATAGCTAAAAAGTAAAATGAATGCGATTCTTACCCAAATCTCTTTGTGATAAAAATACTTATTGCTTAACTCATAGCTAGATGCATGCAAAATTCGCGTCTCCACATAATTATTCAAATACTCTCTCGAGTTCATTATGCATCACTTAAGCCGTATTTCGGATCCGCCCATCTCTGAGTCTAAGATCTAATATTAACACTTCAAAGTGATCAGCTTATCCATATTTTAAGCACCGTCTTAAGTGACCAAGTTACGAAGTGATAAAAGATGAAAACACTCAAATATATAAACATCTAAGTTAAACTCACACCCACACTCATACAAGTAATTTAACTAGACATAAAATAATATTGAAATATAAATTGCATTAATGTAAAACTAAAACACAAGTACAAGGAAATGAAATACTAGAAATTAAATACATAATTTAATGACATAAAATAAAAAGCATAATAATAATAAAATAAATAGAGAAGAGAGACACACAATAAAGTATTGTGTCTTAGATGGTGTTGGGCACACCTCAAAAAGGCTCCCCAAAGCCTCTTTATATAGGGGAGAGGAAGGGAGGATAGTACACCCAATCATTACCTTAAGTGTAATTAGTACAAGCCTAAAAAAATACAAAATAAAATAAAATAGAAGAAGGAAGACAACTCATATACAGCCGTAGAAAATATCTGGAGGAATCTTCAAGCTGCACGTTTCCCAATAAGTTGTAACAAGGCTGGTAGACTTTCCACAGTGGTGCCACAGTGGGTAGTGCTGTCAGAAAAATACAGGTTTTTGGAATAATACTTATTCCTTTGTGTTTCATCATCTTTTTAAAACTTTTTGGAATAAAATAGTAAAAAACAAGAAATTTGGGTATTTAATAATAGCAAAAAGAAAAGAAATAAATAGGAAATAACTCTTAAAAATAAGAGTTATCAAAATGCATTAAGACACACTTCCATTTCAATGTTTCGTTTTATTTGTTATTTATGTCAATATAATACGATTTTATTTGGTTTTAAAAAAACAATAATGTTTTTATTTTTGAATAAAATATAAATTTGAAAGTATCATATAAAATTTACAAAAAATATATTAATATTAATATCAAATTAACTATTTAATTTTTTTTATTTGTATGCTTTTTTAATTCAAATTTTTTATTATAATCTAATTTATCGTAATGGAGTAACTTAATTTATGTTTAATAATTTTTTTATAAAGATAATAATTAGTTATTCTGTTAGAACTCAATAATTATCCTAATTATATTTTAAATTTTTTAGATTTTAAAATGAGATATTTATCCTCTATTTGATTATATTTATCCACAGTTAGTCACACGAATTCAAATATAGAGCTTTAATAAGTTGTACTTATGCATAATTTACTTATAATCTTGAATTTTAAGTAATACGCATCGATAAACAATATTTTATATACAAAAAATGATTTTTAAGATTTTTTTTTCAAATGCTTTATAAAACAGTATAGATATAGTAAGATATCATTGCGTGGAATTCTTGATGGTGATGTATGATTTCTTATTAAATAAAGAGAAATTCTAACTTTTGTCCTTTAAGTTTAGTGAAATATTTAAAAATGGACCTAAATTTTGATAACTTTAGAAAGTGTCCTCAAGATTCTCATTTTATTCTGAAAATGGTCCACAATCACTAACTCTGTTAATTTTTTTATTAGAACGGGGCATTTTCGTCCATTTAATCTTTTTACCTATTTCCTTTTATCTTTTCATGTTTTGTCTTATAAATATTAATTATTTCTTTTTTATTCTACTAAAAAAAACGATTTTCTAATAATATTGTTATAGAGGGACGTTCAAATACAATATCTCTAGATTATACAACCGATGCAACCCACTTATCCATCATCCATCTATTTTTTCTTTTCTTTTTATGGTTTTTTTTTTATGGATAGTTACAATTGATTAAACGATAACAATTGCTGATCAAATAGGCATTCTTGAATTGGTTGTAAGGGTTGTAAAAACGCAAATAGTTGCATAATAACATGTCTTTATTGTTTATAATAAAATATTGTTCATGTTCGATTGATTACTAAATAGACAAACCACCAATCTAACGGTTCATAAATAATCAACTTTGTGTTCGGTTTGATTACAACCTGATACACAATGTGTTAAGAAGGTGTATCATGGCGTAAAACGTGCCTATACTGTTATGATAAGGTCTATAGCGTTGTTGTAAGGCGTGACTCACACTATGACATGCTGTAACGTGCGTCTTACAAGACGATACTTTTTTTATAATTTTTTTTTTAGTTTTTTAAATTTATTTAGCTTTTATGTTTTAACATTTTTAACTGTAGATTTTACACTTTTATAAATCTATTTAATCACATCACTAATAGTATCACGAATTTATACACGTTATGGGCTCACGATTAAAACAAGGTTGTAAAACAACCATTCTGTTGAACATTCAATTAGATACTGTATTTATAATAATAATCCATATGATTTTTCTCATTCTAAGATGAATGTAATTTTATAATATCACTATCTGATCGAAAAATATATAGAAAAAACATATATGTATATATAAAAATTCATATATGACATATAACTTTGTCGACCTGTGTCAAACATCGAAAAACGTCATATAAACACCATGACGTATAAGGCTTGATGTTTAACCTCACCACCACGACACGCCTCACGTTATTTTGAATTTACCCATACATAACACATTTCAACGAAGCAATATAGAAAATTGCAAATATTTGAAAACGAATTAAACAATTATAGATACAATTACTTTTTAGTTGTTTTTTTTTTAATTATAGGGGGCGTTTATCAAACACTTATATGGTAAGCACTTATCTGTAAATTTAACACTGTCATTTACTTACATGGTAAGATTTTAGTCCACAAAAAAATGTATCATATGCAACAGTATACCCGGTAAGCGCTTACCGTGGTAAGAGTTGTCGTTCCCACTTACCGGGTAAGACTCTTGGTCATTTTCTCGCTTTTACCGGGTAAGATTCTTGGTCCTTACCACATTCACCCGATAAAGATAATATGATTTGGTGTTCACTTACATGAGTAAGCGTTTGATTAACGACTCAGTTTTTTTTTTGACACATTAGGTATAAAAATGCATGAATTGTTATTATTTTGGATAAATTAATTAAAGTTGATTATTATAAGTCGAACATGTTATAATCAAGGGCAAATTGCATGAAAAATAACGTACTTTAGCTTGATTCATATTTTAGGTAACATACTTTAAAACTTCCATTTTGGTTTATAAAATGTAAACTTTTAAACATTTAAGTATTCAGTTGAAACATTAACCGGTTACCATGCTGATGTGGCGAATGATGTGATATCCAATTTAGTATTATTTGTTGAAGCATTAACGGGTACCATATCTATCACCACATCAACATGGTACCTGATTAATATTTTAACCGGTTACCCCTGTACTTAAATGTTTAAAAGTTTACATCTTAGGTACTAAAATGAATGTTATCCAAAATAGAAATAAAGTTAAAGTATGTTACATTTTCATGTAATTTGTTCTATAATCAATTTAATAACGTTATATTAATTTTAATTTCAAATTAATGCTGACACAACAAAATAAAAAAAATTAGGGTAGATATAAGAAGGGAAAAGACCAAGGAGATAGTTGTTAAGGGGTAAATGTGACAAATACACAAGATAAAGGGGCTAAATGTAATTTATTAATTTTCGGGGGATGTTGTGTAATTTCAAAAGTTATACTTGTAGACCTTTCCCGCGTCTTCCTAGATTTCCCGCCAAAACATATCCTTCATTGCGCTGTCCCTGGCACACGATCGCAGATTCGTCGTCGACGAGCTCGAAATGGAGATGGAAATGGACATTCCGGTGGCAGAAGAACTCGAATGGCTAGAAGCTGAGTCGCATCTACACGACGATTATCTCGAAGAAGATCTCGAAGAACCACCTACAATACCTGAAGAAGAAGCATCTTACATCGAAGAAGTATACGAAGATCTCCAAGCCGAACCCCTCATCAAACCCACTATACCGGTCCCGGAGGATCATAGAATCGGTTCTGAAACACAGAAACCCAAGAAGAGGTTCCGTCCATCAAGCCCTAATTTGCTTGACACTAACAATGTTGACGATCCGGTGGAAGATAAGCGGTGCAAAATTGATGCTTCCAATGCAATCGAAGATGATGATGACTGGCTTCGGTACTCGCCGCCGCTTCAGGAAGAAGCCGCCGTCATTGTTGAGGAGGAGAAGGAGAAGGAGAAGGAGAGGTTTATCTCGCGATATGCAACTGATATTGAAGGAGATTTCATGCCTGTGACAGCGCCGGATGGCGATAGGGTTTATGCTAAGTTGATTAAGGAAGAGAAAGACGATAAGCTGAAAAAGTTGGACGTGAAAGCGCCTTCCAAAGGTAGAATACTGTTGACTTGGCAAACTTATTTTTGGCAAAATAAGCTGATTTATGATCTCAGTTCATGATGCTGAGAAGCTTAAAATTTTCGGCAAGAGTTATATGTTAGCTTTTATCCCATTTGAATCCAAGTAAATGGGGTAATCGAAGAGTTGAATTTGTTGCTCATCTCTAATGGCCGCATAAGTATGTCACCTACTTGAGTCTTAGTGAGCACGTAACCTTGAATAACATGGAAGGGAGTGACCTTTACATCTAACTCTGTTTCTACTGTGGTACAAGGGGAAATTATATGCATAATATTTGCAAAATAAACATGATGAAATAGGAATGTTAAGTCAACTTTTAGTGATGGTTTGCCAATTGGAGAAGTTTTAAGAGGCCTCTTAACTTTTGATGACTGGAACTTGCGTATCGTAAAATAATCAGTGAACATGGTTATGGCATTATGCCTTGTTATTGATGCAGTATACGTTCTAATTATTATTGTATGTTGAGTGCTCTTTGTATCATGTAGTTTTTAAAGGGTCACATTGTGTAGTTAATCAAGATGGAATGATTATGCAGGTCTCATGCCGGAACCTATAAATGTACTAATGCAGAGGGTGGAACAAGATGCTCTGCAAAAGGTATGTTTACTCTATTTTCATATCACATGGTCTGACAACCTCTCAGCTAATAGAGAGATGGCAGTGACTGTTGACTAAGAATGGGCTTGTGACTTGAAACTGGCAAAAGTTATGACCAAGCTAAAGACTACCATGCTGAAGAATTATTTTATGAATGTAACCATTGGTTTTAACTATGTTTCATTGTGCAATGAGCGACAGACTAATAGGACATGGGATTTTATTATTCTCTTTTGGGTATCAAAAAGGTCGAATGAGTGGATTAAGAACCCATATAAAGTCTATTTCTGTTAGTTATTTAATTTTCTAGTGTATGTTAAGATTAAACCCCATATAATACTCATATAATCATTACCTTTTGTTTTAACATGTATGAGACTACTAGGCTCTTGATACATCCACCATCATGCTAACATTGACTCTGACCGTCCTCTGCTTCTAGGACACTTAGGAATCACTAATATGCAGTTTGTTGATGCCTTATTACGTGAAATGTTTATTGAAACACATCATTCAACAACTTCACAAGAATCGCTGTCTCTATCAGCTTTTGGGCGAGGTCGTGGTTTTCTGAAAGGAGGATGAATAGGAGGAGAGTATTTTCTAGATACTACAAAGGAGTGCATTATTGCAACATCACTAATGAATTTCACGAGGTTCTGGTAATGGGATAGAATGTCATTATCGTCACAAGCATGGACATTGGAAGTGGATTTGTCTGGAGTTACATTGAGGTCCAGTTGGTTTAACTAAGGCACACACCACCTCTACCTTTGACGTCCAACTTACCGAAGCATTTAATGTATTACAATCCTTTTGTGGATTCTCAGGATTAATGTGTTCATATGACAGGAATAATGATACGCCGTTCAATTCCTCTTCATCTGTTCATTCTTCAGTCAAACTAGCAAATGGTACTTGTATTCCCGTAGGAGGAATGGTTCTCTAACTCTTATCTCAATGCGAATCCCAATCTCAAGTTTTCAAATGTTTCTTATATGCCAAAATTTCCCGATAGTCTATTAACCATAAGTAAAATCACTCGTAAAGTTAATTGCTCTGGGGCATTTTCTCTGATTCCTTTCATGAGGTTGGGGCTTTTCGGATGATTGGGATTGGCCATGAACATCATAAGATATATATTTAATCTTCTACAACATGCTTGGGTGAGGGAACTATGCAAGATATTCATAGTCATTTGGGCCACCCATCATTGGAATATCTGAAGAAATTAAAACTGAAAATCAATTATTTACCTATTTTCACTTTCTATCATTTGAGGTCATGTCTGACGAGCAAACACTTTTGCATGGAAGTCCTTTTAGTAGTTTTGGGTCTAGCTCAACCTATGTATTTGTGCACTTTGATGGTTGGGGTCCTTTGTTCTATTGGTACCATTGTATATTTTAAATATTTTATTTTTGCACCGATGATTACTCTAGAGTAACTTTTATTTATGTATATTTTGTTAAATTTTGTGCTTATGTTAAAAATCGACTTGGGAGACACTTTGAAATGATAATGCCAAGGAATATTGTTCAAAAGAATTTTCCTAATTCATGGATATGTTGGAGCTTTTATTGGAAGTTACTCTTACGGTCTTACCATGTTGATTCATTTTATATTTCACATTATTTTGGAGGGATGCAATTTTAACATGTATCTCATTAGTCGCATGCCCACCACTATTTTGAAAGGTCAATGAACTCATAAGGTTTTATTTCCAAATGCTCCATAATTCATTATCTGTTGTTCCTCCAAAAATATTTGGTTTTGTTTGTTATTTACATAGTTTACAACCAAATATGAGTAAGCTTCATCTTATGACTTTTCGATTTGTTTTTGTGGGTTATTTTAGGTCCCAAAGAGGACAATGTTGATATGATTCCCGACTTAAATGTTATTATGTTTTTTGGCAAGCTACCCCCTTTTGATGTGTATGTATTGAATACTCTAAGATTTAGGGAATATTTTTTACTAATGAATCTTCTATCTACTCTCCGGTAGTCCTTCTCATCAAGTATATTAACGGAGACAAATACACATTGATATTGCTTTTGATGACACATTGTCTACTCTAGTAGTCTAGAAGTACCCAACTTTTTCCTTTAATGTGCCTTCTGCTCCTTTCGTCCTGATATTCTTATTGCTCATTGAAATGAAAAATATACTTGTGTTGGCAAGCCAATCGACAAACTCACTCAGTTTCTTCTAATCTTGTTACACTAATTTTTCTTTGATTAATTTTCTCTATGTCTTAGCCATAGATGGTTATCATATGGTCATATTCCTCAAATTGTTTTCATGTCATTAGCTGATCTAGAATAGAGAGATGCTATGTATGATGAAGTGTCTACCCTAAATGAAGAACGAAACCTGGGGATTAGTTGATTTTATTATTAGCAAATACACAGTTTGTTGGAAGTGGGTGTACACCATCAAATTAAGACCAAATGGTGTCTACTCTTAAAGGATACTCTCATACATACAAAGAGCATTATGATGAAACATTTAATCTAGTTTCTATGATGATATCTGTTCGTCTCGTCGACTAGATCTCAAGAACACATTTCTTAATGCGATTCTTGGGGAGCAGGTGTATATGCAACCAAGGTTTTAAAAGGCGGAATCGGCTCCGAGATGTTTTCCCTTAACGAGGCGAGGCGTAAGCCTCAAGGCGGTTCGAGGCGTAAGCCCCGAGGCGGAAATATGTATACCAAAATATGTATATACTACACAAACATATATATATTTATATACAATATATAATACTAAATTACTAAGGGCGTTGGTTCAGTGGTTCTTGGCAGAGAAAAGAGTGAAACCGTGAGATAGGTTGGGAGGGCGTGGAAAAATTGGTTGATTGGAGGAAGAGGAAGGATCGAACCACACTTTTTGTTTGAGAGGCGAAGGTACTAGCTTTTTGGGTTTTAAAAGATTAAAAGTACACATTGGGGCCACTTGGCTTTTGACTTTTAGTTATTAAAAAAACACTTATGCTATGAAGGGAAGTACTACTATTACCTTAAAGCTTATAAAAAAAGCCAAAAAAACCATTACCATACCAGTTCATCTGAGGCGTATGCCTCAAAACTGTCTCACACCTCACGCCTAACCAACCCGCCTCACCGAACCAAAACATAAGTCTCGTTCAGGTTCCAAGAGTCTTGCCTCAGGTGCGGTTTTTGGTCGCCAGGCGTACGCCTCAAACGATTTTTAAAACCATGTATGCTAACTTGTTGGGTTTGTAGTTTAGGAGTCCTCCAAGGTATGTTGCGTGCCATGATCTCTCTATGGTTTGAAGGTTTTCTTGTTTTTCTGAAGCGTTGGAAACCTTAGGGATGACTCGTATGCACATGATTTATCTATATTTTTTCAAGAGAAAAATGGAAAAAGGATAATCTTGGTATTTTACAATGATGATATAGTCATTATTGGTGAGGATAGAGAAGGATTGGAGGCACTAAAGTTTTTATTTATTCAAAATTAGTTTGAAACTAAGGAGTGTGGGAGTATCAATTATTATCTAGGCATTAAGGTTGCCACGTCACAGAAAAGCATATTCCTTTGCCAAAGAAATATGTCGCATTAATTCTTGCTCAAGTTGGTATGCTTGACAACAAAGGAGCATATTCTCATAGTAGGCATTCTCTTTAGTGGAAATCTCATACCATGGAAGAGCAACAAATAAGATGTCTCACTATCTAGCATTTCAAACAATGGCTTGAATTCGGTTTGAGTTAACATGAGGTTGACGCTTGACAGAAGAGCTAGAAGATTTATAGCTGAAATGATGAAAATGTATTGCAATAACGAGGCCTCCATGCATATCTCCAAGAATCAAACTTTCCATGAAATGAACAAAACAAATTGAAGTCGTCATTGTGTTCATAGAACTTATCACAAACCTACAACCATTGAGACAAATTGGGCTTGTGCGGAAGACTAGCTTGCAGGTAAGTTGACCAAACCTTTACGAGGATCGCAAATAAACCTTGTATGCGACGAGATAGGCGTGTTTGCTGTATATGGTCCAACTTGAGGAGAAGGATTAAGATTAACGTCTATTTATGTTGGTTATCTAATTATGTTAATAGTCTTTTAGGCTTTGTATAGTCTTGGTCCATGCCCCGTTTGTAATCAACAAGTATTGTGTTTACCTGATCAATGAGAAAATATACTCATGATAACCTTACCTTGTGTTTTAAGAGGATCCATTAAACGCTATCTGCTATGATGTGAAGAAACATTGTTGCCATAACATAACCATGAAAAGGTCAAATCTTTTGTAAGTGTAAGAAAGTTTAGCTATGTCATCATTTCTGCATATCTTTTTCTTGCAATTGTTTCTGTCATGACGAGCAGCTTTGCTCCTATGTTGCTATAATTCATTCAACTTAATAATCCAACAATAAGTATACTTACATCCCTTTATTCTTTTGAGAGTTGGGGCATTGATCTTCTAAATCAAAAGTTACATTCTAAACCTTTTCAGGATTGCTTTCCAGATACTTTGTTGGTTTCTACTTGACTAATGATATCATTATTAAAAGAGATGGTGATTTTTACTATTTTTCAGTTTTGGAGGTTATGACGGGTTCTTTTGGTATTGTTTAGAAATACATTTTCTTTTAAACGGAAGTTTAGCATGTTATGTAGGAATCAAAGTGTTAATGACTAGGTTAAAATTTTCATTAACTTTTCAGTTGTAATACATGACCCTTATTACTGTGGTGTGAAGGCTTTGCAAGCTAGCGTCTCTAGTCAGAGTGATGCAAATCTTCTCGGAACGCCAGTGGTGAATGAACGACTCTGGGTGGATAAATATTCTCCAAATTCGTTCATGGAGCTTCTTAGTGATGAGCACACCAATAGAGAGGTATATGTGCCAGATAACATGTGCTATGAACCTGTTATTAGCTGAAACAACTCTCATATTCTTTGCTATTTTCAGGTCCTTTTGTGGTTGAAACAATGGGATTCTTCTGTTTTTGGGTCTGAACTCAAGAGTACAACAGAGGACGTTTTGTCTGCCTTAAAAAGACATTCCTCTGTTTCTCAAACAAAAAAAGTTCATTTCAGGAATTCTTTTGGGAGGAACAAGGAATTTACATCTAACCGTGAAACTTTAAGAGAACACAATCACCTCGATAAAGAAACCTATGATAATCATGGCATTCAGGAACTTTCTAACAAGAAGAGCAATGGTTCTGGCTCACTGGAACAGAAGGTAAACTTCAGAACTTGTTTGACACTGTTTCTAAGGTTTCATCAAATCATTCAATCACGTATGACATTCCCTTGCATTGGATCATTTTCGTTCCTCAGTATGAGTTTTAATATCTTTCGCGAAAAGTAAAATTTATCCAAGACTAATAGTTCCTTAATATTCTTTTTTTTGCAATTTAAAAAGTACATTACATTTGGTAAGTACCACATCAAATGGATTTAAGCAAGTCAACTGAATTTTAAAGGTTCAGTTGAATAATTTCCTTTCATTTCATTGTAAAGGTGAATTTTGATTTCACAATACACATTATTAATATCGATTATATATATATATATATATATATATATATATCCGTACATGAACCGTCTGATTGTTGCAGATCCTTCTACTATGTGGTGCACCAGGGCTTGGGAAAACAACACTTGCACATGTGGCAGCCCGGCACTGTGGATACCGTGTGGTGGAGGTTGTCGATGGTTTTTTTTGGCATATGCTTATCCATAGTTTCACTTTCATATCTATCTGATATCATTTATTTAAGCTTAACAATCTGCTATGCACTTAGGAGAGTATGCTTGATTAGAACCCCAAAATCGTTGCTGTCTTTGAAATTTGAGTCATAAGTGACTGGAATGTGTTATTTAGTCCAACAATTTTTTTAATTTCAGATTAAGTACAGTAATGATACTTACTGGATCTAGGTTAAGGTGTTGAATGGGGTACCGCCCCATTTGTGCTATCAAGAAACTCAAGTTTAATGATATAGGAATAATCATTAAATTTGGTTCCTGAAGGGGTTTTATCTTTTATGGGTCATTGGAACTCATCAAGGTCTGAATTTCAGTCGAGTACAATAGTATCTTGGATCATATTTAGGTTGATCCGCGTTGCTGACATTTGGGCTAGTCAAGTTGCAGTCAACCACATCTTTTATTCAGCCTCATTCAGATTCTATTTGATCATCTCGACAGTTGGTTGGTTAATATCACAAACTAAGTGCGAGAACTATTTTGGTTTTTTCTTTTCTCTGTCATTTTAGTTTGCATATCCTAGGATAAGAAGGTATGTTATATTCAATACATATAATTACCACATCTACTGCCTACAGATTAATGCCAGTGATGACCGGTCATCCTCGACGATTGAAACCAAAATTCTTGATGTCGTTCAGATGAACTCTGTCATGGCTGATTCAAGGCCGAAGTGTTTGGTAAGTTGCGTCTAGTATACACAATACTAGTATGGTTTCCTGTTCTAGTAGAAGGTAATTGGTCACAATAAATTTTTGTAGGTAATTGATGAAATTGATGGAGCTCTTGGTGATGGGAAAGGGGCAGTGGATGTAATTCTAAAGATGGTAATTTATGCTTTTTCTGACCTAATTTACGTACTTTATCAACTATAGACGTCACTAATAAAGGAAGTGAAATCCTTCTCATACATTGCTTTACCACTGTCACCATCTTCAGGAATAGTTTTAGCTCTGCAACTAAGATTACAACACATGAGTGCAACTATGTGCCCTAAATACAACAAATATGTTCGCTGTAATCTATATTCCCTAAATATGATGCTTTCGGAGTAGTCACGTCTCATATGTCCCAGTACAAAGCAGAAAAATAAAACCGTCGGATTGTTGCACTGGTTGTAGTGGTTAAAAATTCTATGTGTCAGTTGCATATGCACCTAGCAAGTGCATGTCAGTTTGTTAAATGTTTTGTACACAGGTATATAGATTCTATATATTTATCTACACACCCAGTTACCTGCTGCATAAATTCGAAAGATCCTACAATTTTGTACATAAACTATGTACAGCAAAGGGATGCCTCAAAAAAGTTTTATGATGCCTTGCGAAAATATATGCAGAACATTGTGTAGGGACTTGTAAAGCAAGATAGGAAACTCAATTTGTCCCTTAAAGACTGATGACAGTGTGTTTAGGAGGGGCTAACCGAAGAGGATGTGGGGTGAGAGCTGAGACTGGAGACGGCGGCCTAAGACATTTCCGGATTCTGAGGACATGACATCTGATAGGAATTCTTGGAGACACACCACTAAGGTAGCAGATTATGTGTAGGGACTTGTAAGCGCCTGTAGATGGTTAGAGGGGGGAAGGATAGGGAGCCGGCAGCTAGATTACCAAGGCCCTAACATAGATAAAGGAGGTTCTTTGGCGGTGATCGTGAGTGTGTAGGTGTGGGTTAATCAGGAGCGGGATAGTGTAAGGGCTGCATACATCCTCCCTCCCCCATACCCTACTTCTGAGTGAGATCTACTATCTATTTTTGGTTTGGTAGACTTGATCTTTCCCAGATTGTTCTTAAATTAATGACAACTGTCTACTTGAATATTGAATTGTTATAGATAGCTCCTGTCATGACTCGTGACCAACTAGTTTGGGATGGAAAAACTTGTTATAAGTATATTGTCAATATGATGGCTGGATAGAAAATTTGTTCAGTTTTTTGCACAAGTAATTTGGTCTGATTAGATGACTGCAACTGATGAAGGTTTGATTTTAGGTAGTAATTGTTCACCATTACTGATGCAGGTTTCTGCTGATAAGAGGTCTGGCGCCGGGACAGAAAATATTGTTCAAGCAGAATCATCAGGAAAGACATCCTCAAAGAAGAAAAGGAAGGATACGCCACTTCTAAGACCTGTAAGACCGATTCAGTCTGTGTTCATTAGATGATCTGGTCTTGCTTATTTATTTGATACTCATGGTTTGTCTTCAAATGCAGGTAATTTGCATTTGTAATGACCTATATGCACCAGCCTTGAGACCGTTGCGTCAAGTGGCAAAGTAACTATTTTGTCAGTTTGTTAATTTTTATATTTGCTATTACTATGCATAAGTCGATACCAATATAATCTTTCAGGCTAAATTATTGAACATGATAATTGAGGCCTTCTTCAACACTTACTGAAGTCAAATTAGATGAGTGGTGTGGAAAATAGCTCTTAGTAATGATATTTTTAATGATTTAATGCTATTGGTATGATAATGATATGCCCAAACGATTGCAATCGTATTAATGGCAAAACCGGACTGATTACAATGAAGAATCGAAGAAAAACTAGATGGGAATTCGAGAGCCCATTTCTCTCCTATACGATCAAAAGATCACGCAAAAACTGAATGAACATCCCCTACCAAAACCACGCACCTGTCACATACCATTCTTCTTGCCTTCTTTATTATATTTCCAATATTACCCCCTCGACTTTACTCTTTATTTATCTTTGGACCCCTCCTTGAATATACTTTTGTAATTAGAGGCTTATCAGATTATTAGGAAAGCTTCAATTGCTAGGCTGTATTTTTGCACTATTTTCTTTTTTGGTTTCTGGTTTTGTTAAATTAGCAAGTGTGGTTACATAAGAATTATCCACCTTGCAACATGTGCTCTTACCCTGATAATATGAGCATAATGCAAATTCTAAGCAGTTTTGAACTGACAACAAATTTCTACCTTCGCAGGGTTCATGTATTTGTTCAGCCAACAGTAAATCGCATTGTGAGCAGGTGATGATTTATATATCCCCAGTACTCAAACATCAAGGACTATTTAAGCTATTGGGCAGGGTAACCTTTAATATGTTCTGGCCACTTGTAGGTGTATTTTATGGTCTTAATTACAATGTAACATGCCATTATATAGGTTGCTAATTAGGTTCGAAGCGTAAATCCCATACCTGAACAGTCTATTGTTAAATATGAAAGGTCACTTAAGAATAGGCTGGTAGTACCAGGTATGTAATGTCAGCCAAATCATATAATTGACTAATATGCTAAATTGTGAGCATTGATTGTCAGTTATATCTTCATAACCTTCATCAGACAGTTATTCTAGGTGGTGCCATGAACCATGGTTAAGATATACTTATAGTGAGAACTGTGAAGAACTCTGGTTTTAGTCAAGATCTAATATTAAATTTAGATCTCTAATTCCTCTTTTGTTTTACTTATGCATCTAACTTCAAGTTTATTTCCAAATATTTAGGCTTAAATATATATGCAACAAGGAAGGAATGAGGACAAGTTCTGTTGCACTTACTGCACTGGCTGAATATACCGGTAAGTGATTTGCTCGCTGGTTATTCTTTTTACCTTACCTATAATGTCAACAGAAAGGATAACGAAAATCTTGGATGTTGCTGTAGATAAAGTTGTTCTATCAAAGGTAGTTAGCTTGAATTAATGGGACTTAACCTTATCATTCTATTTTCTTCTCCCTGAAAATATATAGTAACGATTTTCATGTGTGCCACAAAAAGAGTCTGTAAGCATAAAAGTTTAGGAGATTCATATTGGTTGTAAACCATTATTATCAGTTTGGAGGAGCTTCATCTTAAAAATTGTAAACAATTTGCACAATATTTAGATTAGTTGTTGAACAATCCCTAGGACAGTCATGTTATTTTTACATTTGGAATGAGGTGATAACGACACCATAAGGGAAGGATGGTTACAATCATGAGGTTGATGTTAATAGCAGGACAAGGGAGCAAATGAGCATGTTAGAATTCTTTTCAGACAACTCAAACTCAGTAACATTTCACTTATTTCGGACTGAATGATTAAGAATACAAACCCATAGATAATTGAGTTTTAGAGATCCTTCTCTCAACTTACCGTTTACTTGGAATCAGTTAATTTATTTGTCTGAGCTTGATATACTCGGTATATGTTTAGGATGCTAGTTGGATGCACATAATATCTAATTCACATGATAAATCAGGTATCGATGTTAATAGCATCAAGGGCATAATTCCATGGACACAAAGTGTTTAACATAGTATGTCAAATATGCATGATACCTTAATGTACAACAACAAGCAATAAGGCACCACTTTCCTGGTTTTTTATTTTTAGAATTAAGGAGTACAAATTTGGTTCCTCAGATATCAAGAGAAAGACAAAATGTTACTCTTTGGCCTCAAACACATACACAAGAAAATAAAATCTGCGATCTGAACACACTTTTAGCTGATGTGGAGTGTATTTTTTTTTTTCTTTCTTTTTCTCTATATTTTCCAGCTTTTGGTGCTTAGAGAAAGTTAAGAGATGCCTGGTAACGGAAAAAAGTTTGCTGACTATTCAAGAGCAACTATGGTTATAAAATTTACAACCTAACCCAATCCTCAGGTTGATGAATTAGGACCTAGGGAGTGGACACTTTGGTATTTAGTTGGAAGGGCAAAAAAACTAGGAAAACTGAGACCAGAAACAGCATTCAGTTTCTACTAATAATAAATTGCTACTGTAGTATATGAGAGTATAAGAAGTTCACAGCACTTCATCTACATCCGTATATCTGATATCATCTCTTCTTGTCCTTAGAATGTGACATACGCTCATGCTTGAATACGCTTCAGTTCCTCAACAAAAAGAAGGAAGTCCTCAATGTGGTATGCTGACTTGATCTTGTCCTTCTGTATTGTTATGCATAGTGTGAGAAATTTCTATGAATTCACAAATAAATTCTGAATGGAGGATTGTTACCCTTCAATTATGTTGGATAGATCCTAACGTCATATCTGTCCCTTTGTTTGGTGTTTATCACATTATGCTCTATCATGTCTGTAATTTTTTTTCAAATTGTCTCCTCTAGCTCCTGAGCTATGTAGCTTATAAATAGAATGCTTAGAAAAGACATCATTGTAGCTGCATGAATTATTATTTTCGGTCTCTCCCAGTTCTATTTCTCACGTCTGCTTCTCTTCTCTGCCCTAAATACTGGAAATTTCATATTAGGATTTGAAAATTTGAGCTGTTAATGATTAGCACAATGTAGTCTAATTGGAGGTATACTAACCAATAAGTGGTACTTTTTATTCTTTTATACAGCCATATGCTGACTGGCTTGAGTTAACAATTTGTTTTATCAATAGCCCAATTTCATGAATGTAGTTGAATGACTGAGCCCATAATTTGTTTATACATTTTAGATTCTTCTCTCTGCATATATTTCTATTTTTCATTTTTGTACCGGATGCATAGTTTGGGAGAGAGACTTGGCTAATTGGAAATGTGACACCACTTTTCAAACCTGAATTTGCATGAGTTACTAATTGTGTCTGTTTACTTGGATGATATTCTAATTGTTCTCATTTTGCATCAATCAATCTATTTTGATAGGAGTAATGGAGTATATCCCTTTTGCACTTTTTCTATTAAAGTAAAACAACTGTTTTTTGCCTTGTAGTTGGACATCAGTTCTCAAGTGATTGGTAGGAAGGATTCATCAAGAAGTGTTTTTGACATATGGAAGGAGGTGTGATTCATTCCTTATTAGCATATCTGTTGATTACTTGATTATTTGGATTCTTACTCAGGGTGGTTGTACTTGTCTCTTTCGTATTTATAGGTTTTTCAAAAGAGAAGACTGAAGGGGGTAAGGAAGTCCATTGATGGCTGCAGAAGCAAGTTTAATGAGTTTGAATCTCTGCACTCTTTGATCTCTAACGGGTATGTTGAAATATTTCAAATTTTTGACATCCCCTTTTTGTTTGAAGTGCTGCACCATTAGTCTTGGTGACTGATGACTTTTCAGTGGCAACTATGATTTAATATTAGATGGGATCCACGAGAACATCTTGCAACTAAATTATCATGATCCAGTGATGAGAAAAACTGTAAGTACTAATTCAAGGGAACCCATATTATGAGTAACTCTAGAAAATCGGTTTTAGTTGACATGTGCCTAAAAGAATTTCCACATGCAGGTGAAGTGCTTGCACAGTCTTGAGATTTCTGATATTCTTCATCAATATGTTATGCGTACACAAAAAATGTCCCTTCAAGGTAACTAAGCTTCTTCTATCTACAAGTATTTATACATTCTAGAGTTGACGTAGAAGCTAAAACAAACATGTTATTTTTTGCAGTTTATCAGCCTGCCATTGCAATTGCTATACATGGTCTGGTATCTCAAGTTGAAAAGCCTAATATTCAGTGGCCAAAAGCTTTTCATAGGTATGTCAACTGATCTATAGCTTTGTGTTTGATAAAAAAGATTGGCTTCATTTCTGTTCTTTTACTTGAAACTACAGATACAGAACGACACTCATTGACAAAGTGGAGTTATTGCACTCGTGGCACAACAAAATATCACCATGTATCTCAAGACACATATCTACTAAATCGTTCGTGGAGGACTTGGTTACCCCATTATTGCATATCTTTTCACCACGAACTTTAAGGCCGGTAATTTACTTGTATTCAACTCTTCCTTTCTTTTGCTAGATTAGTAGACAGAATTTGAACCCATGAATGGAAATAATGCATGTAGCGTTTACCGGTTGCGGAGCCACATACAAACTAATGGCATCTCTTGACCCCAGTCAGAAATTAAAAGATGTAGATTTAGCTGAAAAGAAATTTTCACGCTTCACAAATGGCTTAGTTTCATGCTAAAAGAACCCATTCAATTTTTACAAGACCTCACATTTTTCCACCGAAACCAAAAGATATAAATTCATCTCCAATATTTTGTGTATTGTTTTGTTAAATCCATTTAAATATTAGGCATCTCCATATCTAGTCTTTTATATTGCTTTTCTATATCCATCTCAATATCTTGTTATTTTAGCTTTAATATAAACGGGTTTATCATATGTTAATTGTTTTATATCTTAAAGCCTCAAACCAATTATCTAGATATACAATATATAATAGTGTGGTATAATTTGCTATGCGGTTTAACTATTATAGTGAAAGAATAACTTAAACTGAAGTGTTTAACCCAAAAACCAAATAACCCGAAACCATTTTGATTCAGGTGGGTTATTCAGTTTTGGAATATTTTCGACACTCCTAAGTCTGACCCCAGTCACCTAAGTTTCTAGATCCGCCACTGGCGTTTACCTATCCAATTGTTATTTTATACATGTGTTGAGGACGCTTGAGGTGTTCATAGTTGTGAAGGGTTCCACAACTTTAGAGATCAATAAGGACTTTAAAATAACCAGATAATAGCAAACCTTAAAGTATCTATTATCAGTTGCAACTGACTAGAAAGGTAGTTAAGATTTGCTACCTTGTAGATGTATATTTATATTATTACTTGGTCCTTGACAAAAGTTATGGTTACCCATGTGTTGTTTTTTCAGGTAGCTTTGCATTTATTATCAGAAAAAGAGAAGAATGAAATGTCTCAACTGGTGAAGACCATGGTGTCCTATTCCATAACATACACGAAGAAAAAAATTGATCCCTTACCTGGTAAACTGAAGAATGAAGTCGCTATGGATGCTTCGATTCTCTCATTTGATCCCCCAATTGGTGACTTCATAAACTTTGAGGTTAGCATTGTTCAGTTTACACTATAAGATTTGAATTATGATCTTTAAGATGTCTAATGTTCGACAATCTGCTGCAGGGATACAGTTATAATTATTTCGTTCTTGCGTCAGCTGTGAAGCAGCTTCTATGTCATGAGGTAAAGGGAAGTTCATTCAAGCGTTCTTACTTTATTCATGTCTTCACTACTTTCTGCTTGAACTAAGGGGTTGTTTGATTTTTTATCCATTAAGTTGTCTTCAAGCATTAATATGTCTGGATAAATTAAGATAAAAATTGTGGTTTGATTTCTTTTCTAAATAAATAATCTAAACGACAAAAATTATCATTTTAACCTTATATCTACATAAGTGCTGAATGAAAATAAACTATTTGATAAGTACTTAAAGATGACAAAAAAATTAAAATGATATGAATTCAACGAGTTCATAACACAATATTTAATAACTTAAAATACATATAAAATTATAAAGTATTAGTGTTTGATTACAATTTTTAATTTATGCATGTTGGTAAACTATTTATTTTTTAATGATATGTGCGATTAAAAATTGTAGGACAGGGGTGATTTTGGAAAAAATTCTAACTTAATGCATTAAGATAGGATGCAGTAACTTAACATGTCAAGTCAATCTCTTAGTTTTAAGTTAGAATCAAGCACCTTAACATAAGTTAACCAATTTAGCTAACCACCCATTAAGCTTATTAAGTTGAAAGAAAAACACCCCCTAAGGTGAGTTATTTTGGCTTACTTGTTACTTGGATATCACTGTCGTGAATAAAGTTCACTGGGCACTTTGTTTTCTCTTTGCAATATGCTTTATGTACAAAATGCTTTATCCGAGGAGTAAATTGTGAAATGTATTTTTCTTTTTGGAAAGAAAGGAGTAACATAAACCATATCCCGAAGATGTTCGTTCATTTACTGTAGAGAAAAGCCATGACTTGCCTTTATTTGTCCAAACTGCATCTCTCGTCAAAAGCGTGTTTTCAGTCATAAACATCGGTTTCCGTTCATAAAGATCAGTTTTCGCTGAAGGGCATATTTATCTCCAATAGCCTGGCATTCATCTTAATACTTACAAGTTGCTTAATTTACTTCCTTCAACCACCTCTGGTAGATTGACATGAAAAAAGCTCTCTACAAACACATTTTCTTGTTCGAGCATATGAACTCTTTTAGTTTCATCTTCTGCACTGTGTGTGGTACTTTTGTTCCTGTAACCCAAACATTGATTCCAACAATTCAAGTGGGTGCCAGCTTCTGACCATGTTACAACCCTCTGATTGTAGATCGAAAAGCAAAAAATACTACAACATAGCATCAACAAATCATCGCAGAGAACTGATGTGTGTGATGTGAAAAGAGAACATCTTGCAGGGAAGGAAATTGTCAAAGAGAAACGTAGTGAACCTGATCGTGCACTAGAAAATGCCAAGAGTACCAGCAACTTAAAGAACCCATCTGGTCCCAAGCAGTGCGAAATACGTACTCCTAATACAACGGTCTCAGTTTTAGCATCTGGTGGAAGTGCCACATCCAGTGAGATACCGAAATCCACTGAAACTACAAAGAAACGACCAAGCGGCTCCTTCAACTTCTTTGAAAGGTAATCTAGTTCTTTTGCCTTCTTTAAACTCCCTGAAGTTTTTGTTGACAAGGACCTGAAACATGAAGCCTACAACACACATGATCTCAATAACTATAGTTTTGTTGCGACCCGTAAGAGAGACTTTTTCATGAACTACTAAACCAAACCAAACGGACCCATAAATCCCACTTGAAAGTAACGTGCGGTTGAGATGTATGCAGGTCTGACCTCTAGAGTAGAGTGGTTACTTATGTGAAGGCCCCCAGTTTGTGCAAGAGTTCAAACTTATGCATGAACTACTATTGTCAACAATTTCCATTGATTGTATTCGACATCCAAAAAATATTTTACTCCAGACACATGCAAAGCTAACAGATTTTCAAACAAATAGTGTCGGAAGTAGCAAATTAATGTGAATTCACTCACCAATTCAACCCTGCCTCCACCCTGACCCCAATCAGTAAGATATTTGTTAAGTCACTTGAGGCTGCATATAGTATATACCAAACTAAACCAAACAGAACCGGTATATCCCACCCAAAGATAGGGTTTGGGGTAAGATGTACGCATATCTTACTTTGGTCCCACGAGACAGGTTGTTCTCGAGAAGACCCCCAGCTTGCAAAAAAGATTCAACAAACATAACTAGAAAGCACAATGATAGGCCGCAAATAAGTAACAGAGTTATGCAAGAATGGGTAAAGAGCCTAACAAGATAAAAAGCACACTAGGCACACCAAGGAAATGTTTGTATGGTATTCTCGTTACCCGCTTACTGTGAACTGCTGTTTTAGGACTCTCAACACGGAATAATGTGCTAGATAATCCAACCTTATTTATGGTATATATGTTGTTGATAGTACTTAGGGCTAATTAACAGCCTATTCTCTATGTAATTATTTGGCAAGCCTTTACAGTTAAATGTGAACAAATGGCCTTAACCTTCATAAGCTCCATCTCTGTTACGAAAAACATATGCAAGTGATGATCTTTTTCAGGTCTAAGACCATCTCCAGTGGGGGCACCATATCTTACACCAAATACCAAATTTGACACTAAATCACTCCAATAGAACACCAATAAATCTTCTCCAATGGGTAGCACCAAATGTAAGACTTTAGGTATATTCCTTTTTACCATTCTTTATTTGATGTAAATGAATAGTGTTACACCAAATTTGGTGTAATGAATAGTAAAACACCAAATTTGGTATAACACTATTCATTTACACCAAATGGAGAATGGTAAAAAAGAATATACCTAAAATCTTACGCTTGGTGCAACCCATTGGAGAAGATTCATTGTTTGCACCAATTTTTATGGATTTGATGTTTCCCATTGGAGATGCATCCGATGTTGCCATAAAGGTCCGTTTCAAGGCCTCGTATAATGCAATATGGCATTTGCTTGTGCCGAAATACCTGTGCAGTAGTTTGTAGTTCTTGAATTTTGCATTTACAGTAACCTGCTTGCTTTCCATTCCGGACTCGTATTGGCAATAAATATATAACCTCAAATGGTCATTTTATTAATTAATCCGTAAAACCCCAGGTTTAGAAAAGTGAGCGTCAATGGTTCTCAATTGAACGAAAGTGTGAAAAAAGTTCCAGCAACATCGGAGAGAGATTTACGTCCGGTGCTATTCAAGTTTAATGAGGTAACTATCTAATACTAATTCTCACTTCTACAAGCCTATTAAGCATTAATAGCTAATGCTTGATGATATCCCTTTGTCTTGGTGTTCAATGCAGGGATTTACGAATGCAGTTAAAAGGCCAGTTCGCATGCACGAATTCTTTTTGTGACATAAGTTTTTCAGCTTTTGTTTTCAACACATTGAAATTATATAGAAATCCATTTGTTTCATTGTTGTCTGTGTGGTTAACTTCTAAAAAACGACGTCGTCTAGCCAACCTTTTTGCTCCAAATGTTGGCTTTTCCTTACAAACTCAGAGGTTTGTTTACCTCTTAATAGTTTCATTAAGAGGCAGACTTTGAATCGTTAAGAGGTGAATCTTGTTTGGCAAAAAAAAATCTGCCTCTTAATGATTCTAAAACTTTCTTAAAAATTTTGTATCTTGTGTCTCCCTTAACCATTAAACGTTCTAATTTCATTGTAAATAATTACTAAACAATTATATTTCATTTTACACTATATCATAAGAGTCTCTTAATCATTTTGCATCAAACCATTCAGCAACCATAAAAAAACTTCTCATACTGTTCAGCCATTCTTTTTCCGGCATATAGAATTATATTATTATTATATAATTGCTTTGAAAAAAATCCCAAAATTAAAGGATACAACCCAACCAACCATTGGCCTGGTTGGTTGGATACATGGTGCTACAAAATGGCTCCAATATTAGAACCCAATGCTCATCATGCATCCCACTTTCATGGAGGTACAGTTATCCCTTAGCCATCTTGGTGTATATGTATGTATATATATGCTTCAATGCGAAACACTCCCTTTCCAAAATACGCCATGGAACCTTTCTGCCATTTTGTAATT